GGTGGGAGGCCGGCGGGCGCAGGGAGGGTTGCTGGCGTGCATGGGGCCCAGCGGGTGCCTTACCTCCCTTGGGCTGGGCCAGCTGGTGGCCCAGCCGGTGGTTGGCCTGCTCCATCTCTGCCGCTTGCCAGCTACGCCTCGGACAGCGCAGGGGGCGGCACCACGCATGCGCGGCACTCCCAGGCAGGGAAAGTCCTTGACTTATGACTGCATTAAAAAGGTTGAGAACCACTGCCCTATACCACTTCAGATGAGTGGCTGTCCAGTCTCTTCTTGGAAACCTCCCGTGATGGTGAACTCTTAACCTCCGAAGGCAAGCCATTCCACTGGTTAATTGTTTTCACCATTAGGAAATTTCTCCTCAGTTCCAGGTTGCTTCTCTCCTTGATTAGTTTCCATCCATTGCTTCTTATCTTTGCCTTCTGATGCTTTGAAAAATTGGTTGACCCCTCCTCTTTGTGGCAGCCCCTCGAATATTGGAATGCTGCTATCATGTGACCCCCTAGTCATTCTTTTCTCTAGACTAGCCATACCAGAATAACAGAATTGAACTTGGAGGTCTTCTAGTCCAACATACTGTTAGAGCAGGAGACCCTACACTATTCCAGACAAATAGATGCCCAATCTCTTTTTGAAAACCTAACAGAACAAAAGAAGTTGGAAGAGACCTTGGATTTGGACCTAGTCCAACCCCCTTGGTCTGCAGGAGACCCTATACCATTTCAGACAAATGGTTGTCCAGTCGCTTCTTAAAACGTCCAATGTTGGAGCTTCCACAGCTTCTGGAGGCAAGCCATTCCACAGTGATTAATTGTTCTCACTGCCAGGAAATTTCTCCTTAATTCTAGGTTAGATCTCTCTTTGATAAGTTTCCATCCATTACTTCTTGTCCTGACCTGAGATGCTTTGGAGAATAGGTTGACCTCCTCTTCTCTGTGACAGCCCCAAAGTACTGGAAGACAGCTACATGAGCAATTTCTGTGAGAAGAAAAAAGTTACAAGAAGTCATACAAATTCTACTTTGTAGAAGTTGCTACTGGAGAAAGAAGCCCAAAGTCACTGAACTTGATATTCAGCATCATAAGTCTGCATTGTGGAAAGATGGCCAATGATAAAACTGCAGAATTTAGTACTAAAAATAAGCAGAAATGAATTGCAGAATTATATTAGAATAGAATAGAATAGAATAGAATAGAATAGAATAGAATAGAATAGAATAGAATAGAATAGAATAGAATAGAATAGAATAGAATAGAATAGAACTGAAAGGGACCTTGGAGGTCTTCTAGTCCAACCCTCTGCTCAGGCAGGAAACCCTATATCCAGTGGTGGGATTCAAATATGTGAACAACCAGTTCTCTGTGTGGATGCCACTTCCGGAAGCCCATTCTGGACCTGGGCAACAAAAAATTAACTACCGGTTCTGCCAAAGTGGTGTGAACTGGCTGAAACCCTACACCATTTCAGACAAAAGGCTGTCCAGTCTCTTCTTAAAAACTTCCAGTGTTGGAGCATTCACAACTTCTGGAGGCAGGTTGTTTCACTGGTTAATTGTCCTCACTGTCAGGAAATTGTTCCTTAGTTCTAGGTTGCTTCTCTCTTTTATTAGTTTCCATCCGTTGCTTCTTGTCCTGCCTTCAGGTGCTTTGGAGAATAGCTTGACTCCCTCTTCTTTGGGGCAACCCCTGAGATATTGGAACACTGCTATCCTGTCCCCCCTCATCCTTCTCTTCATTAAATTAGACATTCCCAATTCCAGCAACCGTTCCTTATATGGTTTAGCCTCCAATCCCCTAATCATCTTTGTCATTCTTCTCTGCACTCTTTCTAGAGTCTAAACATCTTTTTTACAGCACGGTAAGCAAAACTGGATGCAGTATTCCAAGTGTGGCCTTACCAAGGTATTATAAAGTGGTATTAACACTTCATGTGATCTTAATCATTGTCACCTTTGGAACCCCTGTTGACTTGTTCTTGCCCACCTTTGTGATGTTTAAGATGTGACCACCAAAAGTCCAGATGCAAATAAGGTATCTGGAAACAATAGTTATATACAGTAAATTCAGATGATTCCAGGTGGCTTTTAACATGACCTGGAAAAAATCAAAGATTATTGTGATATGCTTTGACCTTCTGGATTCAATGACGTTTGAATGTCTGCATTCTGCACCAAATACTGTTTCTGAGTCAACTTCCAAGACAGCTCCAGTTAGACTACAGAGATTATCTCTCTCTCTCTCTCTCTCTCTCTCTCTCTCTCTCTCTATATATATATATATATATATATATATATATATATATATATATATATATATATATATATATATAAAACATGGATAACTAAACTAGGCTCATTTTCTATAGATAAAGGTGCAATTGACACACCAAGTATAGTTGATAAACAATACTTCAGTACTAACTGTATCTCTCTAGAAGGTGATAAGTCAAGAAGAATTTCTAAGTTCTGAATATCTTCTGTTGAAACTCTTTTCCTAAAACCTCTGACATCTCTATCCAGACTGTTCCCATCTCAGTTGGATTAAGTTTCTCCCTAATCTATCCCCAAGCCACCTCCAAGCCCCTGACCTTGGAGTTTCTCACTGCCCAGAGTAACTAGTGAGCAAGCAGAGCTGTTTGTGATATTAACATCAACATCCCAAACTCTTGCTTCTCAAGCATCAGGTTCTAGAGAATTGACTACTGGAACCTCAGCAGAATCCACTTCAACACAAGCAAGGTCAGAAAGTTTAAATATCCCTCAACAGAAGGTCAACCCTCATGGGGCAACATTTTTCAGATTTTACCGATAAATGATTTAGTAATGATTCACCTGAGTTAATCCGAATTGCATAGGTTAGGAGCCTTCATGGCTTATAACTCTGAGTATTTTTTAAAAAGGGTAAAGTTTCTTTTTTAGTAACAACTGTGCTGTCAAAACGGGTCTGGTAGGCCTTTCATTTGTCTCTGTTCCAATTACCTGTCCAGTTTTGATGATTAATATGTCGCCATTGGGCTAACGTACCCTTTGGCAACGCATCCTTCTGCTGCAATGACAAGAAGTATAAAAAGTTCGTTGTTTTCATTAGCATAAATAACGGCACGTGGGTGGGACTCTTCTTTCAGGGGACAAAAAAGCTTACAGTTTGAAGTGTCTTTATCCATTATCTAGATATAATTGAAAGTAAAGTTACGGTGCAAGAGAACACAATGCTACAGGGGGGACAATACATATTGTACCACATTTGAATTATGGCTGTGAGCATTTTCTAATTATGGATGCAAAGTCTGGAAACAAGTGTAAACTGCAGGTTTATGAAGTTGCCTTCTGCACATCTATGAATAATAATAATAATAATAATAATAATAATAATAATAATAATAATGTTGGAAGGGACCTTGGAGGTCATCTAGTCCAACCCCCTATACCATTTCGGACAAATGGCTGTCCAGTCTCTTCTTAAAAACTTCCAGTGTTGGAGCATTCACCACTTCTGGAGGCAGGTTGTTCCACTGGTTAATTGTTCTAACTGTCAGGAAGTTTCTCCTTAGTTCTAGGCTGCTTCCCTCCTTGATCAGTTTCCATCCATTGCTTCTTGTCCTGCCTTCAGGTGCTTTGGAGAATAGCTTGACTCCCTCTTCTTTGGGGCAACCCCTGAGATATTGAAAGACTGCTATCATGTCATGTTTGGGTGCTTTGTTTGCTAGATCTGTTTCCATCAAGTAAGTAGATAACAGTGGAATTTCAGTCTCGTTATTAATTGGTGATGAGTACCAAAAATGACAAGTTCCAAACAAATGATTCACATAAGGAATAATGTAAATAAATTTAATGCATTCTCGAACCAAGTGTAAGACCACCCTTGGAATACTGCATCCAGTTTTGTTGAGACTCTAGAAAGAGTGCAGAGAAGAGCAACAAAGATGATTAGGGGACTGAAGGCTAAAACATATGAAGAACGATTGCAGGAATTGAGTAAGTCTAGTTTAATGAAGAGAAGGACGAGGGGGGACATGATAGCAGTCTTCCAATATCTCAGGGGTTGCCCCAAAGAAGAGGGAGTCAAGCTATTCTCCAAAGCACCTGAAGGCAGGACAAGAAACAATGGTTGGAAACTGATCAAAGAGAGAAGCAACCTGGAATTAAGGAGAAACTTCCTAACAGTGAGGACATTCAACCAGTGGAACAGTTTGCCTTCGGAAGTTGTGGACACTTCATCAGTGGAGGTTTTTAAGAAGAGGCTAGACAGTCACCTGTCTGAAATGGTATAGGTTCTCCTGCTTGAGCAGGGGGCTATGCTAGAAGACCTCCAAGGTCCCTTCCAGTTCTGTTCTGTTAACATTGGATGGAACCAATGGAGGTGCTGGTCCCCTGGTCTGACAAAAGCTGTGAAGTATGGAAATTGTTGAATAGACTGCACAAGGATAGAATAGAATATCTTTATTGTCATTGTGTATCTCACAACCAAATTAAGTGCTGTCCATATAGCACCCTTATTTTAATTGTGATGCTTCTGACACGACTAAAGAAACAATGTACAAATAAACCACAGCCGAGTGCAATGCATCCACCTAATTTTTCTCTCTTCTGAGCATGAAAATTTCATACCGATGGGCCATTGTCTGTTTTAAACCAACCCCACTGCCTACCTCGTTCTCTACGATTGGAACGAAACTCAGTTTAAAGAAATTGCCTTGGTGCCCAATCAAACCCTGTTTAATTTTTTTTTTAAAAAAAAAGAGCCAATTCTGTGATTGAGATTCTCTCCTACTTGAAAAAGAGAGAGGGCAAAAGGTCCCTCTTGAATTGCTTTGGCGTCAAGGAACAAAGCTGTAGAGTTCAAAGATCTTTGTCGATCTCCCTGGCGGTATTTTATCTCTCCTACGCCTGCCAGCTCTCTGATCGATAAATATGTTATCAATAGTCCAACAAGATCAGACAAACAAGAATCGTTACGAGACAAGTTGGCTTGTACACTCAGCACCTTTGCGCTAGGCTACGAGCAACGTATTGACAAAGGCGATTCTCTGGGGAAGGGGGTCCAGTTTTCCTCATAGTTTACAACTAGCAGCTTCGAGACAACCTGTTTCCTTAGAGAAGGCGGGAGGTTTTCTGTGTGCAAATGTACTCTCGGATTCATCCTTCCACCCCAAATTTATTCAACATTTCCGACAGCAGGTCTGAAACACACATACAAAGGCATGTCGGATAAGGGGGCTTATATCCACCTGCTGCAGGTAAGATACCTACAATGTTCAGCATCTCTTTTTAGAGTATTACTGGGCACATTTTCCCTGAAAATCCTTCTGTCAGTTCCCATTCGATGTAGTGTAAGATACTAGCCCTTTCAATGGTTTTTTTTTCCTCCAATGGCAGTGGTTCTCAACCTTTTTAATGCCGCGACCCCCAACCGGTCGTAAGTCAAGGACTACTCAACTGGTGCAGCACCGTTTGCAGAATGGGATTTTTGGCGGGCTCAGCAGGGCAGAGACAGCCTGGAAAATTCCTACTGGCTTTTGAAAGCCAATAGAATTAGACTCTATTCAAGAGAGTCTATTCTATTGGCTTTCAAAAGCCAATAGAATAAAAGGGAGTAGCACAGCTAAGGAAAAGGGGAAACAATGGCGGACTGCATTGTTTGGCGACCCCCGTGAAATGGTCGTTCGACCCCAAATGGGGTCCCGACCCACAGGTTGAGAACCACTGTCCAATGGGATATAGGATTTTGATCAAATTATAATTTACATAGAATATAGAATCCTAGGGCTGAAATTTTCTCTGTTCCATCTGTTTCCCTACCCACAAATGGGGTGGAGAATTCTGAAAAAAAAAGTGAATTGCCCTCACTTGGACAAGAAATGCCAAGAAATCCGCAATTCAAATTTTTTGTAGAATCAAGATTTTTGTAATGATGCTCAGTCTAAACTCATTCTGACCCCAGCACAGTATTTCTAAGCAGAACTCCTGAGTTTTGACAACTTTCTGAGTTCACCTATTCGTTATTTATAGGTGGTAGATAGGAATTGAAGACAGACAGACAGACAGACAGATGGATAGACAGAAAGATAGATAGATGATGGATGGGTAGATGGATGATAGATAGATAGATAGATAGATAGATAGATAGATAGATAGATAGATAGAGAAAGAGAGACAGACAGACAGACAGACAGACAGACAGACAGACAGATAGAATGAGAGACAGACATAGATAGACAGTCAGATATAGAAATAGATCAACTGTTTAGGAACCTGAATGGGATTAATTATTGCATGTTTATAAAATAAATTCCTACACATTTTCCATTCATTCTTTTTTCCTGATTTATTATATGGAATTCAGATTTCTGCCTCTTGAAGAAAGTGACAAGAACAAGACAATTAGTCGAGCTTTTACATTATTACTTGACAATTCCTTGGCACTGAATAAAACATTGAAGCCAGTTTCTGCCCACAAGACTTCAGGCCCAGAGTGTATTTTGGACTTTATCTAGTTCTACCCAACAGGTCAATTAGATTATATTTATTCATTGGGGAGTGGAGGAAAACCATGGTGCCATTTGATGAATCTGCAACACTTTGTCTTCCTCCAGTATGTGCATTTGAGTGAATTAAATGTATAATAGACAGATATATGTATGACATATAAGTACCACGTATAGAGCTTGGATGCAGCTAAGCATGGAGTGTGCAGAGACCGTGCATCCAAATTTGTCTCTCAGATATTCTGCCTGTTGCTGTCCAATGATCTATTGCAGCAATCCATCACCGCTTGATGAGGTCCTGATAATAAATTACAATCATTTATTATTAGAATAACATCACAAGCATATGATCACAATGCATCACCAGAAAGGCAGCTGACAGGAACGTGATTCCAAGAGATAGACTTGTAAAATCAGGAAGGAAGAAGGAAGGAAGAAAAGAGGGAAGGAAGGAAAGAAGGAAGGAAGGAAGGAAGGAAGGAAGGAAGGAAGGAAGGAAGGAAGGAAGGAAGGAAGGAAGGAAGGAAGGAAGGGCATTCTTTGATATCCCCCCCCCCATTTAAACCATGAGCAAACCCTGAATGGGATATCTGTTAAAGGACCATTCTCAGAAGAGCCTTCAATTATAATCTTTGCAAATAACCCCAGGAATAATCAACACTCCAGAAAACAATCTCAAGACACAGAAGGATCTCGACAGATCCTTACCCATCAGATCCGTGGTGAATGGAGACATTCAATGAGGTGGGAGGTAATTTTCCCTCTACTTTCAGCCACTTCACATTTATATATATATGGGAGAAAGAAATCTTTCTTGCCTAAAGTGCAAGCAGCCCAGGTTCGAATCTCAAAAGGGTATGTTTGGCTGATGAGAGCTAATTAGCTCAAAATAGCTATTCCATTCTCCCTTAATTCTTTGTTAGCAATCCAAATTTTATATATTGAGGTGATCCTCAAATTAGGACCATCACTGAAATTCCATTGCTAAGCAAGATGTTCATTAAGGGAGTTGTGCCTGATTATACAAGCATTTTCGCCACTACTGTTAAGCAGATCACTTCAGTTGTTAAATGTTAAATGAGTCACACGGTCGTTAAGCGAATCCGGCTTCCATGTGTAATGTATTCGAGCATTACCTTCCCTGGACTGCAAATCCTATTTTCCACAGCCCAATGCAATTCTATTGAGTGGTGGGAAAGGCACAAGGTTGAAATAAGCTGTTCTAACAATCTATTTGGTGCATTCGACTTTTAATTTCAAAACAAAAGAAAGCAAAAAAAAAAAAAAACCTTGCCTAAACAGCTTTTGCATGTGATCAGGATCTCACCAAAAGATCCACATGCCATGAGGCTTCTTTGCTTCCAGTTTACATAGCACAATGCTTCTCAACCTCAGCAACTTCAAGATATGTGGACTTCAGTTGCCAGAATTCTTCCACCAGCCCCAGAGTTTCTCGATTTAGACATCAGAAGAGAAGATTGTATATTAGTGAGGATTACCTACATTACTAAGTGTCTAGCAGGTATTGGGCATTTAGTAAAGACAAAAGTCGAAAATAATTATTCAACTGGGATTATCTCGAGGCTCACAAGAGCAAATAGGAAGAGCTAGCTTATCTAAACAGCTTCTCTTCCTGGTGTTAATTAAAGCATGTGGGTCAGCTGAAGGACAATATCCATGCCAGAAATTACAGCTATGAAAATGGAAGCAAAATATGTTGAGTGAACCTACTGATTTTGAAGACATTTGAAGTAATGTCTGTCAGCTGCCCTCTCATGCTACCTTGGGCTTCGCTGATAGGCAGTGACAGTCTGCCATGAAGTATGGAAAAGAGGGATGAAGGGGGAAATGCTTGGGAAACCAAAAGTAGCGTCTTGCCTTCTTGAGAAGCTGCTTCAAGGTCACGAGCGGCACACCAGAGCACACTTGAACCGACTGTTAGGAAAACAGCTTGCAAGATTTTAATTGGTTACCATGGGGTGAGAAATGAAAGACAGTTAAAAAGGGGAAAGTATAACGTAGGGATTTTGGCACGCGAATCTCAGTTCTGGCTATGCATTACTGCAATATGCTTGATCTCTAATAAAAACATACCTTTCTCAGCAAACAGAGCCAAGGATTGTTTTCTAAGTTTGTGGCAGGTCTGACAGTATCCTTTTGAGCAAACGGGATCTTGCAATTTGTTATTTCTCCAAGGAAATAGGCTGGTTCTTATGCAGCGTGTTTGCGAGATTTTGGGAAGAGGGGTCCAAAATGAGAAAGCAAACAGGTTTATGTTAACCCCATCACAATGGCAACTGCTTCTGAATTGTGCTATTGCCATGTCTTCTGGCAACTTGTCTGCTGTAAAACAAACTGTCTCCTCTGATCTCTCTCTTCATCTCTCTGCTTGCTCAAATTTATGGTTAAAATTAGAAGGTTAGCAAGGCTCCAGCAGGCAGTGCCCCATTACTGCCAGACAATAGTGTAATTAATGTTTTCTTCTGTTTAAGGAAGAATTGACACATATGTTCTTCAAGAGCAGAAAGGCAGATTTATAGAGAGGAACCTGGAGTCAAAGCTCATGTTTATATACTTGTTTGGCAGATCACTCATCGTTTTGTTTCTTCCCTGGATTTGTTAGACAGAATACACAGCAGACAGTTGTGGAATGATAGATTTCATATGGCACCTGGGGAGAGCAGAGAACATCCGGTAGAGCCTTCAGATCATCCATCTCTCGGTAGGCAGATGTTTTTTGCTGTTCGTGTTCTAAAAGCACCCAGGTCAGATTACATCACTCCATTCTTCTTCTCCAGAGGACTCCCCCATACACACATGCACACATCCTTCGCAACCATCAAAAAGCACTGGTTTTTCATTGACAAACTTTGTTGATGCAGGCATGCCCTGAAAAAAACTAAACTCCCATTTAGGCTTGGAAAAAGCTATTCTCTCCTTGTTCACCAAATGTCATGTTTTATTGTTTATGGAGATTCTCAGTCGTCCAGATCATGGTTGCCCCAAAGTTGCTTTTTCGAAAAGCAACTGGACTTCCTTTGTTTTTCCTTGAAGAGGTTTCACTTCTCATCCATGAAGCTTCGTCAGTTCTGACGGAATAGTGAAGAATGGAAGGAATTTGTTCTGTTTTGTTTTGTTCGCCAGTGGCTATAATGTGAATAAGCATAAAGAAAGACAGTGGGCACAGCCTTTCTTTGTTTCATTCTTTATGGCGCATGTTTGTGATAAAAAAGCAATTATTCTGGGTCATTGTAAGTCAGAGAGATGAAAACTTATTTTCATGACTGAAGACAGTTTTTGTCCTAATTAAAATAGATTGTTTGTCTTGTTCCTTCCACAGTTGGTAAGGCAGCCAGCAATTTGTCTGACATCTTGTCTTTTTCCAAACATTTCTGTGGATAAAATTCAACATCTTATAAATCACACCTACTTCAATTAAATCCGGTTGATTACAAATCACCTTAATCTTTTCTCCTAAGTTCAAAGTGCTATGTTTCGGATTTAATTTTAATTGCTTCAGATGGTTCATCAATATGTACTTTAGCTTTGGCATTTGATATAATCCTCTCATAAATGGCTTTGCTAGAGTCCCATATTATTTTAAAAAAGGATTTGGAAAAAGCTCTTCAATTGCTGTTGACACCTCAATATGATGTCCTCTTGTGGTAGTAGAGCTTCATTAAGTCTGCATCTTTTGGGCCACCTTTTTGCTTATTCTTACAATTATTGGTCCTTGTGGTTAAGAGGCTGAA